GGTCCTTTGCCAGGATTGTAATGTGGAAAAAAACACTGTTAAACGTGCAAAACTTGACCTCACGAAACAAAAAGTATCAATGTTACCGTCACAGGAATCACAACGAGCAAGAAAAATCAGTGTGAGCAGGTGAAACAATTTCCCCTTCACTCGTCTGAGATATAATAATCTGTATATAAAAATAATAAAGAGATAATAATTTCCATCATGTCCTGGGGCTGGCCTCCTCATACGACCTCAACCAGCTCCTCTCGATGGGGAGGAGGAGAGGAGGTGAAAGATTAAGGCAGCCGTAAAACCCCACCCTGTGGTCATGGGGGTTTCCCTCAGGTGTCAGTGAACACAGGGCTATTATAACTTCTGTGTGTGTGCCGTCTCTGCCAGATGTTTGCATCTCAGGGTTTAAAATGAAATCTGTGGACAGCAGGTGGAGGCTGCTGCCGCTCGGACAGATGATGTGATGGATTACACACAGATGAAGATAAAAGCACAACAGATGTTTACAGATGTTTCCTCCACCGTGTGTGTACTGTTGTATCAGACACACGTCACTCGAGCTGCTGCTGTGAAGGAAGCCTCGGCTTTCTGAACGTTTAGAGGACGCAGGAACACAAATAGGTTAATCCACTGCTGCGTGGTGCATTCAGGGCCTTCCCTGAACCAGGACAGGTTGTCTATCTCACTCTACCACTGTCCTCTCTCTATTTAAAAAGACTTAAGTGTGTGTGTGAGTGTGTGTGTGTGAGATTAGAGCTAGATACATGAGGTTGATGGGCAGGACGCCATGTTTAACATCTGTACTCAGACTTTTGGTTTTTTGAATCAGACAGACATGATATCTGCTCTCTGATTGGTGGGATCAGGCCAACGGGATTAATATGAGAGCAGCAGCAGGGACACAGACAGACAGATGAAGGTGGACGGACGCTGCGGGCGACAGGAACCAGACAAACAGGTACGACATGCACATGCTGTAAAACTAGCTTTTTATCATTAAAGGTGAAGTTTGTGTGTAGAGCACAAATCAGGATTAAACTGACTGTTAAAAGTAGACGAGGATCAACAAAACTGTTTGACAAAGCAGAAAGTGTACCTAGCTGTAAGGGTGAGGTCAGCTACAGTTTGAGGCAGACATGAGTATAAAAATAAGTTCTGTAAGCAGGTATATGCACTACAGCTAATGTGGAGTCTATTACAGATTGATATAATTCCAGCATCTGAAGTGACGCTGTAATCCTGAGGCAGCTGCTGCTGGCATCATCTACACAGCTCTGATAACTGATTGTGTGTTTGCTGATGAAGGAGAAACATGTAGAAATGAAACTGTAGAGGACCAAGAATGGAGCCCTGTGGGACTCCAGACCCTAAACTGAATACAAGAACCACAGCAGCACCATCTGTTGGCTTGTGGTAACCTCATGACAGTGACCTGTCATTTATGGAGTAGCCACAGCCTAGAGCAGAAGACAAAATCATTCTGCTGGTATTAAAACAACAGCCAGGAATAGCAGGGAAAACCGTGAAAGTCTAAACTGCTACATTGGAGCTCAGATGTGTAAACTGTGTTACAGCGAAGCAGGACATCATCCATACAGGTGTAATTTTATTATTTTTCAAACTAGAAAGCTGCTGTACTTATCCTTTGTTACAAATGTGTGACCCATCTGCATCGTTATGTGTCAAGAAGGTACATGCACGATCATTTTAAGTTTGCTGAAAAAGCTTCTGTATGACAGGATGTGCTTGAGTACAGAAATCAGAGACTGGAACGTTTAGCTTTCTGTTCTGGAAGTTTCTGTACCCTGATTGTCACAGTGTCTTGGATAGACCGCATTTGCAGGAAGGCTGGTAAGACTGTGGGATCAGTCACTGTAGCTACACACAGGCAGCATTTTGCAAACTTGTAAATTATACATCTAAAGCCTGGAACAATAAACGCAACAATACCACACAGCTAATGGGTTCCTGGGTTAAATTGCTGACTTAAGGCCTGTTTTATCATTTCAGTGTCAGCCATGTTTGCGGGTCGGGCGTCAGCCGCAGGAGCCGCTGGACCCTCAGCAGCCGTAGCAGGAAAAGCTGGAAAGTTGTCAGTGGAGGAGATCTATGGTTTCAGCAAGAAGCCCAAAGTAAACAGGGGGATTTCTGGGAAACTAGAGAAAACGGAAGTGAAGAAGGATGTGAAGGAGAAAGATGAGTCGGTGTTGGCATCTCAGATCCTGGAGGCCGCCCGGAGGCTGATGGAGAGGCGACGCCTTGAGATCTACCTGAAGGAGTGTGACATCACCATGGAGCAGAGGGACATGCAATACAGGTGACATAAAAGACAGGTGCAGTAACACGGAGTAACCACCAGAGGGCACAGGCACACTGAAACACATAATTTGAACCACATGGCAGTTTGAACTGGTTTTACTGGGCTACAGTGATGAGCTGGTTTTAATGTGAAAATAGCTGAACTGGTTAACCTGGAGAGCAGCTGTTACTGGTCAGACCGGTGTGTGGTGTCCTCCTCGGCTCACTCTGATTGGCTCCTGGAGCTGCTGAGTCACATTTCTGTTATTAAAGACTTTCTGCTCCAGTCGTTTATCAGCTCGGTGTGTGTGTGTGTTCAGAGTGAGGGCTGCATCATCCCTGACTTCAGCTAATGTTATCATATATAAAACTGAAACAGTGTAAATATGTGAGCAGCTAGCAGCAGCACGCGAGCCGATACCTGATCAATATGTCGATGAACAGACCAGTTTGTTCTGCAGACCGAGGTCACGCTACATTACCAAACACAGTCCTGCCTGTGTCTGACAACCTTCTGTAAAATCATTGGGTTTCAGTACAGAGTGATCCTCGGTGAGAGAACAGGTGACAGACGTCCATGTAAACCTCATTAAAAAAACAAAATAAGCTCAGTGTTTCATCAGATTTCCACTGGGACGTCTCCACTGGAGAGTTAGTGCCACTGGCTAAATACTACACCCAACACAGATGTTTACATAATAATAAAACAGTAGAGGCCAGAAATCAAATCACTCAGAACTACACTCTTCTTTAATGGCAGCTCTGAATGGGTTTGATTTTCCCATCAATGTGTTTTTATTAATAACTGAAAGTCATCAGACCACTTAGCATTAAGCTGATAGATTTCCAATGAAACCTCTAACAGAAGAGAAAGAAGTCAGTTTTTCCAGTTTTGAGTTGTATTTTCTATGGATGCTCACTGTAATAAAAAATAAAAAATATGTCTAAACGTGTCTTAAACCTGTAATAATCTAAAAAATATATAATATGGGAACAGAGATGTGTTGTTTTCGAAAAGATTCAATAAAATTAAAATAATGTTTTACAAAAATAGCGTGAAAAATAATAATGATAATAATAAAAAATAATAATAATCATTAAACCTGACTTAAGCACTTAAATTGGACAGATTTGAAATAGGACTTCTGAATGAAGAATTAGTTAAAATTATTTATCAGCTTTAAAAAATATATTAATGTGCTATTTTCAAAATAAACACTGAGAAAAAACACGGCTTTTCAAAATAAACACTGAGAAAAAACACGGCTTTTCAAAATAAACACTGAGGAAAAAACACGGCTTTTCAAAATAAACACTGAAATGTATTTACTAATAGTAATATTTATACTAATAATTCTAATTCTGCATAGGAGTGATGATGGCAGAACAAAAGCTACTTTTCTTATTATTAAAACACAAACAGACGAACAGACAGAATGCAGGCAGAAACCTTCGTTAGTAAACGTTAGCGTGTATGTGATGGCCTGTCTCTGCTGAGAGGAGCCTGCAGACAAAGATGAAGGTTTGATGATGATACTTCCTGATCGCTCGGAGGTTCGTGGAGCCACGTTTCTGTGGTGAAGTGTTTGTGATGGAGCAGGAAGAGATGGAGGCAGCGTCTAAGTGTGCAGCTACTCTTGTAATGCACATTAGTGACACCAAACCTTTGGCCTCGGGCGTCCTGCCGAGTCTGCACTCACATCTAATGCACTACTGCAACGCATTTATGAGTGCACACGAGTGTGTCCGATGGAGGAAGAGGAGTGGGGGAGGGTCTTCATCATCTTGTCATGTGCAGGAAACATCCTGAGAAATTAAACAATGCCAAAAATCAACTTTCATCAGGGATACGAGAAGGGTTCATGTGTCTTCTTCTTCTCTCAGTTTATGTGAGTCCTCCAAGCTTCAGGATCTTGTCTTGTAGTTCCTCCTGCGGCCACAGGTGGCGCTGTTTTGTTATCAGTGACAGCAAAAACAAGCAGCCATGATGTTTGTAGTTTTTTTATGGACTTGTAATTTCACTGAAAATCTGAAACGTTTCTTATTTGTCCATGTTTTCTCTTTTGTAGTAGCTTTTCCCCCGTTTTTGCTTCTCTCGGGTTGTCTTGTGCTAGCTTTGTGACCCTTTGAGGGCATGTGTAGTTGGAAAAGTCCCCTCCATGTAACTGTTTGTGCCTTTGAGGCATTTAAATCATTTTTGTTTTTTATCATTTTTAGACTTAATTGGCTTTTTAGGACCCTTTATGAGTTTTTACATTTTTTTGCTGTTGTTTTTCCTGGTAAAGGTTGTTTTTGTTGGGGGGTCATGTTGTCGTTGTAGTTTTTCTTCATTTCTTGCATCAATTTGATTCCTTTTTCATGTTTTTCTCCTTCTTGTTTCTGTTTTTGTTGGTTTTTTTGTCAAATTTGTTCCATTCTTGTTTGTTTTTTCTGTCATTTTTTGATTTTTCACAGTTGTCTTTTTGCTTTTTCCTGCTTGCGTCTATCTGCTGTTCAGCAATCGCTCTCCGGGGTTTAATAGCTGATGTATGAGGGGACATTTTTAATTCTTTTTCTTTGCAGGTCGCGATTGCCTCTTGCAGGCATTAATCTGCATGTTTCTCATTAAATGCGATGCAGATGAAGGAGGCTCAGGTGTGCTGGGGCTGTAGGTGAGATCCTTCAGCTGCTTCCAGCTCGCTAACATTAACAGCATGTTTCCCATGATGCTGTCTGACAGTAGCAATTATCACAGTGCTCTCTGCACAGTGACAGCCCTCGCGCTCCCTCTCTCTCTTTCTTTGTTGAATGCTCGCTCGGCCAGTGTGCAGCCAACCAGCTCTGAATAATGACAGGCGGGGGAGGGGCTCCCTCTCTCCCCCTCTCCTGCTCAGCGGCACAGTCCAGAGGACGGACAGACGCCCAGTTCTTCTTCCTGCGTTCATCTCTGCATCGCGTTCCCTCGTCTCTGTTTCTTCTTCTTTGTTGGGACGCTCTTCATCATCTCCTCCTCCTCCTTGTGCTCCTCCTCGGGGCTCCTGTTGTGGGACGGTGGTGTCCGACAGACGGACACACTGAAGGAAAGTTGTTTGCATCTCTTTGATTGGCTGATTGGCTCAAACGCAGCGGGTGGACTCAAACTTGACATCCCACTCATGAATTCTTTCCATCGTAACCATAGCGACTGGCATCCTTGGCGGCATCGGCGGTCTCCTCATCATGCTTTGAGACTTTAGAACTCTTTGTATAATCATAAGGTTCGTTACCGCGGCAATCAGGATGCAGGTGTCCATAGCATGTAACATGGGAGGAGGTGGGGGCGGTGGAGGGGCCAGCGAGCACCAGCTGAAGGAGCGGAGGGCGGCGGCGAACACCAGCAGCGCCCCCATCTGCCAGGTAAAGGTCAGGGCCGAGCCTTTGGAGCGGAACACCTTGCTAGGCCACGCCCACATGAAGGAGGCCCTCGGGCGTTATAGCAACATGAAGTACAGGTGAGGCAGTGAGAGTGACACAAAGAGGTGGTCATGTGACCCGACAGGTGCAGAGCGTGACTCAGGTTCATGTTTCATACACGTGTGTTTGTGTGTGTGTGTACTCGGGGTCGTTCTGTCAGGACCAGCAACAACGAGCTAGTACAGCAAACCGATCAGAGATATTGATCCGCCCCCTCCCTGGCATTGATTCTATATTGCTGATTGATGCGTTTGATAGAGCCGATCAGGTGACATGTATGTAGTCTGAATACTGATTAGTCGGGTTAAATATTAATGGTCTGAAGCCAGATATTGATACGAGTGTGCGTCTCAGGGCGACTCGTCTCTCAGATATTGATGACTCAAAGCGAGGCTCAGAATTGATCCTGATTGAATATTGATGAATTCATCGTGGACTGTGACCTGGACTCAGGCGTTAACATCAGTCACCATAAACATGAAGCACATGCAGTGAGCTGACACCAACCTGGGCACAGACTCACGAGTACCTCGGACGTCTGTTTGACTCACTTTCAGATTATGACTCACATATGAAGATCAGAGCTTGTACCAGACCAAGAATAAAGTGGACGTGGACATAAATCTAACACCAGGACTTCATCACTGACATAAAAGTGTCCCATCTAATGATTTTGTCAGGATTTGCATTTGGACATGAAACTTTGGATGTTTATTTGACATGACTATTGCTGACTATGATTCTCATGTTAGCATTGAAAGCTTGGTCTCAGGTACTAAAACCGATGACTTGGAATCTCCGTGTCTTTGTACCTGTTGATCCTGACTTCATGTACATCAATGACTTGATTTTGACTGAAGCACAAGTGACTCGGACTCTACTGACACTAACCTGGGCCTTAATGTCTCAGACGTGTGCATGAACGTCTATGATTTGGACTCAATCAAACATATAATATCAATCACATTTGACTTGCCAGTTTTCTTAAACGTGATTATTGGGGACCTGGACTGTCACAGCTAGAGCAAGACTGACGAACTCAGACCGGAGCTCACACGTAGGCACAGAAATGGTTTACAAGACTTACAATGAAGCACGTTATTGACATCCGGCTATGAAGGAGTATTGATGACAGCGTTGCTTGGTTTCATGTCTTGGGCTAAGACTACATTTTAAAACCAGTGGCTTGGATCTGGTATGAATCCTGTTGTCTCAAGATGAAAAATGACTTTATTTGAGAAACAATCTCGAATTATGCGTCTGCGGGAAATCAATGACAAAACTCAGGGCATAACTGGAAACTCCTTTTAGCCCCATATTCTTCCACGTCACCTGACGTGAGCCTCCCGAGAATGCGGCTAAACGCAGACTCGATGCAATGACTGGATGATTTGTGAGGTTAGAGCACTGGGTTAAAAGAGGTTTCCACTTACATCACAAGTTACAGTATAGATTTCCTGCAGAAGTCTAAATCACGCTTTGGTTGTGGACTTGGACTACATGCATGATTCACTTGACTGTAATTGATTTTAGACTTGACCCAGACTTGGAAATAATGCCTTTGAACTGCATGATAAACTCTTACTGTGTGCTGACTTGTTTGAAGACGGTGGAACAAACTTGGACTCTAATATGTATATATATCAATTATTATCTATTTAACCTGACTTGTACTTTAATGTAATCTATCTGATGTGCACATTGTAAACAGCTTCTGTCCAGTAATTTGGTCTCAGACTGCATTTTTTAAACTGTTGACTTTAATCAGGACTTGGGTTGTAATTATTGTTGCTTGGATGTGTCCTCAATGAAATACTTGAAGTGCAGTTTTTAAAAACAGCTGGATTTAACTTGAACTTTAATGTGAATTTGGATGTTTTCAGCTCAGACGTGTTCCTAGATTTAACTTTAACTTGGACACTAACATGAATATGTTTTCAGCTTGGACTCATATTTGAGTCATCATTGATGATTTCAGACTCGACTTTGAATTCGATTGTTGAAACCTCAATGAGCTGGTGTAAGACTTGGTAACTTGCATGTGAATCTTGTTTTCTTGCCTCAGACTTATAGGTAAATGTCATGGATTTGTAGTTATTCCACTTGGATGTGAGCCTTTGTTTGATCTCGAACACAAGCGCCTCGGTCTTGGATGTGAATGAGTGTTGCAGACTTGAATTACTCGAGTCAGTTTACGTGTCAGACTTTAATTGAGTCTCTTTCTGTTCGATCACTGAAGCGTGTCGCTGGTTTTCAGACTGAAGGTCATTTCAACAGAGCCAGACTTGAACAGAGGGGAGGTGGAGGTGTTTCTAAAGCGGCCGGCTGATGTTTGGATGTTTGTGTCTGGCTGTGTTTGATGTGTGAAAACTGTAAACGTCAGTAAAAACACAGCTGATTGGTCAGCTGCTGCTGCTGTTGGGGGTATTTTTAGCAGCGCCGTCTGAAGCTGCTCTTTGTGGTATTTTTTATCCTGACATGAAACATGCGCTCCCTCCCTCATGTATGTTCTGTACCATCTGCACAGCGTTAATCAGCCTCAGCTCTGTGACCTCTGACCTCACACTCATGTTGATGAATGTACAGCGAGTTTGCTTAAATTAAAGGCACTGCTGTAATCACACTGTGCGATAAGTTGATTGGTTTCGACATAAAGCTTTAAATCATCCTGACTGATGACCACAGCTCCCATCATGCACTGCTGCTGACTCCAACAGTGACTTTAAATCTTCCTGCTGTTGCTCCCTAACTGCAGCGGCAGCAGTCCTCGTTAGCATGGCTGCAGACCTCAGTCTGGCCCTGAATGACCTCAGTGTGCTTTATTGCCACTGAGCACATTAACAAGGTGATGACCAATGAAATCTCGTGGAGGCTGTTGATGCTGCGTGTGGTTTATATGTCAGGCTGATACAGTGGTCATCACTGTATCAGCCTGACAAGAGCAACAAATCAATTAGACGCTAACGCGATCAAATCATCGATAAAACTACAACGCTGACCGTCTGCATACAAAGCTAATGTTGGTATTTAATGCAAGTGAAAGATCTCAAAATCCCTTTTGGGGTTGGATTCAGCATAAAGCTGCCTAATCAAACATGCGGAGCTACCTGCTGCCGTACCTGCTGTTCCCGACTGTTCCCGACTGTTCCCGACTGCTCCCGACTGTTCCTGACTGTTCCCGACTGTTCCCGACTTTTCCTGACTTTTCCTGACTGTTCCCGACTGTTCCCGACTTTTCCTGACTTTTCCTGACTGTTCCCGACTGTTCCCGACTGTTCCTGACTGTTCCTGACTGCTCCCGACTGTTCCTGACTGTTCCTGACTGTTCCCGACTTTTCCTGACTGTTCCTGACTGTTCCTGACTGTTCCTGACTTTTCCTGACTTTTCCTGACTGTTCCCGACTGTTCCCGACTGTTCCTGACTGTTCCTGACTGTTCCCGACTGCTCCCAACTGTTCCCAGCTGAAACTAGCATCTTTCTCTGTCCAGGACAATGATGCAGTCCATTTACCCCTTTAATGATCATACAGACTGAGTGGACTTAAATACATCGGAGCACGGATGTTTGAACTTGGGAATGATGTCAAACCCGAGTTAGTGTGTTCAAGATAAAGCGAGGAAACACGTGACTTTTTAGGTATCACCAGCAATACATGATAATACTTATTTGTTTTGCACTTAAAAAAACATCAGTGCAGAACATTCATAGAGTCTGATCAGTGCACTGCTTACTTACTGAGTCACAGGTATGTAACGGTAGAAGTACACCTTAAAGTTTTGGTACTGTTGACCTTTAGTGCCGCCATCTTGAATTGTTAACTTGGAGCTGTTCTGGCTTAGTTGGAAATGTGAGTTGATGGGACTTTCCAGACTCCATTTCTGACTGGGAACTCAACTTATTCTAGCCCAAAGTGGTTATGAGGAGTTACGGTAAAGTGAAGCGCACACAGTAAACTGCAGGCAGAGCTGATTCTTCTGCCTGTACTCAGACGACAGTACCTTCAGAAGGCTTCACGCTCTACATCAAATATACCCGTAAAGCTTGTCTTCTCTTCTTTCTGAAACCATTTAAATCTCTCTGGCACAAATGCTAACTGAGTTATGGTCATTTAAAGAGTGCTTGTAAAATGGGCTGATTTAAAAAAAAAAAAAAAATACTGAGGAGTCTCCATGAACTTATTTTGAACATTAATAAGCAATCACCAGCCATCTCACGTTTCCCAGCCAGCAGGCCCATGAGGTCGCTGCTGTGGTGCTCCTCAGAGACTCACCCTGTGGCCATCCCAGCTCCGCTATCTTACCGGCGATGATAGAAGTCTTTGTTCCTGCTAAGGTGGATTTCTGGTTCAAGTGTCTCTGTGCTGAGCTCTTTGAGGCTGCAGAGCAGAACAAGAACAGTTGCAACAAACTGAAGACCAAGAAAGTGGAATTTGAGTCCACAGGATGTGAAACTCAATGAAGAACAACAGCAGCAGCAGCAATAAGAACAAATCGATTGTTAAACCATTAAAAATAAGCACTAAACTTGATTGAACCATGAATCAAACTGGAACCATGAACACTGATCAGTGCAGTGAAGTATAAAAGAAATTAAACCTTTTTAAGTTCTAAATGTTTACGTATCAGGACATAAATGAAACACTCTGACCTAAACACAGCCTCAGATGAACACATGACATATTACACCGTGTCATCATTTATTTAGCAAAAACTGAATCATGACTGTGTAATATGAATCTGGCGACACAAACTACAATGATGCGGATGTGTGTGGAAAACAGATCCATGTAGTTCAAAAACAAATCTATAAAACAGCATTTACAGTCTGCGAACGATGTTCTAATTGTGCCTTTAAATGATGCATAAATAAATGAATTTATTTGTTAATGTAACAGGAGGGTTAGTCTGGTGTAATGATCCATCAGTGGACCTGCTGATTTGGTTGTTTTGCAGGAATCTTGGGAAATCTGGGCTGAGAGTGTCCTGCTTAGGACTGGGTGAGAGCTGCAGCAGACACACACTGTAAGCACATTTCCATATATCCAGCACACACAGTCAGTGTTACTTTTTTCTGTCTTCACAGGAACATGGGTGACATTTGGTTCTCAGATCTCTGATGAGGTACGAAGTGTTGGTGTGTTTGTTTACCTACACAAATGTGGACCTGGCTACTGCCACTCACCAACGGAGGACCTGCAAACCAAAAGGGTTCAGTTAAAATCAAGCTACAGGATGTCTAGTGAATTTATTTGAAGTCAGTATATACTTTTAACGTGGCTCTTCTAGGTTTGACCTTTTTTCTGCCATTTAAAGTTCAGCTGTACTCTCCATATATCTATTATTGTCAGAGGTGTATTATATGCAACAATTAATTTATTCAATGATGAAGCGTCTGTGATTATTTTGGGAATATTTGAGTCACGTCAGCATGTTTAAATGTTAAAAATAATATAGTTAAAGCAGCTGTACTTTTATAAGAACGTCTTTAACAACTGCTTCACATCCTTTCATGTCCATTTTTGGCTCCACTGAAGGCGACCGAGGCTCCGGAGACAGGAAATCAAAGTTCCTGCTTGGAAAGTTTTGAAGGAAAAATCAAAAAGCTGTTTGTCGGGTTTCATTTTAGTTTGAAATTACATTAAAAAATAGATTTAAGTTATATTTCCAAAGAAACGAGGTCCTCACTTGGTCAGTGCAGACAGACGGTCCACTGCTAGTAATGTAGGAATGTGTGTGTGTGTGCTAAATGCATGAACACATATTACATAACCACTTCTGCAGATCTGTGCTTGTATTAATGTGTGTGTGTGTGTGTAGATGGCAGAGAGCGTGATGACGGTGGCGTACGACAGCGGAGTGAATTTGTTCGACACAGCGGAGGTTTACGCCTCGGGGAGGTACAGTACCGACTGTCTGCTCGTCTGATCTCAGCTGGTTCCCGTCCACCTCGCTGCACCGCAGCCTTAATTAGTCCATAAGAAAGGATGTATAGACCGCTGCAGGGCGGCTGCATGGACACAGTGGAGGTCGCCGGGGGGCGTCGCAGAGTGCACGTTAAAAAACAAAAAACCCCTCTGCCTCTGCTCTCAGAGACATGAAACATACATGTAAACTCTGAACAGCATCCCGGCCTCAGATTCTATTTATAATAAACCCTCCAAGTTCTTCTCTCATAAGAGTTTCTTTGATTCAGTTTATACACAAAAGATGAATTATCATAAGGTTAAATGTCTTACATTTATAAGATTGTCTGAAATCTGGATGTAAATCTTTGATTGTGTGAGTTTGTGTTTCAGGGCGGAGACGACTCTGGGAAACATCCTGAAGAAGAAAGGATGGAGGTAAACCAGCTGGTCACTGTTAGCCTGTGTTACGTTCTTAGTCTAGGCGAGTATTGAACGCAACAAGAAGTTGTCCCACTCACACACCACCCAAGCAAGAACACCAACAACATCTTTTTAAAGTGCTAAGCAGCCATTTATTTTCTTCAGCAGTGGGCAGTGCCAAAAATAACAAACAAAACTCCCTAGTGGTCCCTACACGTTCCTACACAAAATGAAAACCAAACAAAAGACAATTCACTTACCCAACTTTCTAAATGAAAAACAGGAGAAAACTTAATCAACAAAAATGGCTTCTCACGCCTACTAGGCTGCTGCAGTGAAGGATATATACAAGGTGAACAAAATACACGATTGCTACTTGACAAATCTATTTACAGCTATTTACAAAATTGAAGTACTAACGCCAGACACACACAAGGTTATACTTGCAAATCACTTTGTCAAAGAAACTCTACACAGCAACGAATCAAAACACAGGTTCTTTGTTGGATGGTGGAGGTTAGGAGAGAGGGGGCCAGGTGGCTGTGATCTGGTAGTTAAGTACTGGAGGTGATTAGCCAATTATCCAATCCAAGGACTGGAAGAGACTCCACCCAACTACTCAGCAGGCACGCCCAGGTGTCCACCTCCTAGGAGAGAGGGAAAAAAAACCATAGCCATCCTCTGGTGGGAGGAGTCACACAAAACAAACACTGCCAACATTAGATCATAACACCTGTGAGAAACCAAGAAAAACAGGATGTAAACTGGAAATATGACCAGTTTCTGAAATCATTTCATTTATATCAACAATGTTTGGGATTGCGAGATTCTGGCTTTAAAACTGGTGAATTAATATTTTACCTGTTTTTACATTTTTTTTAGTGTCTCTTAAATATTTTGCTTTGATTTGATTTATTTTATTGTGTATTCACTTCATCATTTTTCTGTGATATAAATTTTGTATTTAAATTTATTACAATTTGTTAGATTTTTTAGATTTTTTAGGTTTGGAAATAATGTGTAATTAATGGAAATTATGTTATTTTATCTCATTATTCAAACGTATTTATTTCTTCATTATTTTAAAAAATACGATTAACATAATTTTTTACAATAAGTAAAAGTTAATTTAATAATATTTACTTTGAATTGGAATTTAATCAATATATGTTTGGGATATTTTTCGTTTCTGTGATTTCTTACATTTTTAAAAATAACTGTATTGATTTAAAAGAAGATATTAAGTCTATACTAATTTCAGGGATCTTTTGATCCATTTTTTTAGCTTATGCTTAATTTTAATCTTTGTCCTATTTAAAATTTTGAATTCGTATTGAATTTGTAGTGAGTGTTTTTTCTAACACTAAATCTTTAACAGCAAAAATGAGAGAAGTGACTATATTATGATGTCATATTGTATATAAACATGTTTTTAAAGTAAACTGAGAGCAGTTTAGTGCTGGAACATAAATAAGTGAAACATATGATATTTTATAACGTTGGGTTAATGATTTAAACATTGTGTCTGACAGTGAAGCACAGAGCAGCTGCTACAGCAACCTTATTACATGTTAGCATAAAAACCAGCGTCCAGCTAATGTAAACACAAAAGTTCAGCATGACTCACATTAACACACACACACACGCACACGCACGCACACACACACACACACACACACACACACACACACACACACACACACACGCACACACACACACACACACCCCCACACACACACACACACACACGCACACACACCACACAACCCACACACCCCCACCACACACACACACACACACACACACACACACACACACACACACACACACACACACACGCACACACACACAGCACACACACACACACACACCCACACACACGCCACACACACACGCACACACACACTGCTGTGTTTGCGAGGTCGCTCGCTGTGCTGGACCAAACTCCCAGAATAATAACGTGCGTTTTGTCTTGAAGACGTGTTGATGTGTGACTCAGCAGATTTTCCCTCCATCCGTCTCCTCCACCTCATTTTAATCTCCATCGTTTCCTCCCCTCCCTCCAACCGCGCTCCATCTCTCACACTGACTGATGGCGGTGCAACAGCAATACCACTGAAATAACTTGTGTGTGTGTGTGTGTCTCCACCAGGAGGTCCAGTTATGTGGTGACCACTAAGCTCTACTGGGGCGGACAGTGAGTGATGCTTTCATATTACTATAATCACGAGTGCCTGCACTGTTCTCAGATCAGCTCTGACTGCAGATACATCAGACTGAAGCTGTGTGAATGTGTGTGTCACAGGTGCTTCTGCACCATAGGTCAGTGAGACATAATGACTAGCACAAAGACTCGGTCGGAAACACTGAAAACTGGAACAGCTGAAGCTACAACGACACAGGAAACAAAGATTTAGCTTACTGTTCATGACCACTGACAACAGACTGTATATGAAAGATGGACTTCATGCTATATGATTGGTTTAGGTCAAGGCGGGGGCGGGATTATATCAGGAATCAGCTCTGAACTCTTTTCTCTAGGGGTGGAGGACAGACTGATGGATGAGGTCTGTCAGGAGTCTCTGTGGGCAACACTGAGACCTGTGGTGAGAGTAGGGAGCAGGTGGAGGAGAGCCTGGAGAGGTGGAGGTATTCACACAAGGAATACGTGTGTGTGAATGAGAGGGAGACGGGTGGAGGAAGGTGCAGGAACAGGGGGAGTGAAGGTGGGGGAGTCTACCAGGGGTCAGGGCAAGAAGAAGGTGAAGAAGAGAGACACAACAGGTGGAGTAGGCGGAGACAAGTGTCGGAGCTCCTCTCCATCCACTGGAGTGTGACTGAAGGAAGCAGCAAGAGTGAAAGAATTAACGATTTAAAGATGGAGGTGAGACCTGCTGCAGCCGAGGGGAGCTTCGTGGAGGACATGCAGACGGTTGGTGTAACAGAGGACACTGAGGTCGGAGGAGGTGTAGGCAGGCGGGCTGGTGTAGCTCCTCCTAAAGGAGCAGCTGAAGAGAGAAGAAGAGATTAGTGACAGTAACAGTGTCCTCTCTGCACCGCGCACAGAACCTGTCGACTGCATGAGATTACTCAGTGTTAAAGTCACGTGACTGTGGCGTGTTTAACGTTTCAGTTCTTCTGTGAGGTCATCACCGTGACGTCACTGTTCGTTTGTTTACAGGGCAGAGACGGAGCGAGGGTTGTCGCGGAAACACATCATTGAAGGTAAACCCCCTTCAAACACATTGTAAATACCCTCCACACCGTTTGCACACTTCTCCTACATTACCCAGAATCCTCTGCACATAGTTCATACACAGCTCTGAATGGTGTGGAGGAGCATCTGTCACACAAACACAGCACGCTGAAAAACTCGAGTACATTTACTCGGATACTCTGCAGCTCAGAGTCGCATGTGAGGAGGCGGAGTGAGGCGGGGCGGTGAAAAGTCAGAGACTAATTACTGTCAGCGGTCAGTCAGTGTCCTCTGTCAGCTGCTGGAGGTCGTCGAGGCTTTAAGAGGCTCAGTCACACCGAGACAGGATTAGGAGTTACACACATTCACACACACACTGTAACACACACACACACTGAGCAGCATCAATCATCCGTCCCACTGAAAGCTGCTAACAGCTCAGTTCACTTAAATCACTCTCTGAAATGCTAAGTGCTAAATTTACCCCTGAGAGCGTGGCAGGAAGTCGCCGTGATGCTGACAAACTCTCATCTTTGATGAACGTCTCTGCAGCAGCTGCTCACAGACACTCGCGGCCTCGTGGAAACCTCCAGTTATTTATTCATCTGCTGGAGCAGCAGGACAGTAAATGCAGCGCTCGTGTCACTGATGTAAAGCCTGGTCCAGGCGTCAGACTAATCTAGCAGCAGCTCTGCTTTTATGATTCGCCCTGTAAAAGCAGGAAGTCCTAACGTTCTCTGGAGGTTTTCTAAAGGACACAAACATCCTCAACCTTCACACAACAGTTGGTACATTTGTGGGCGGGGCTACAGTGGCTGCAGAAAGGAGGTGGAGCTTTCTCCAGGGGCCCATCTGTTAAAATGTTACACCTGTAAAACAGCTGGTATACACGACAGAAGTGAAAGAAGTATTCGGAGGCTTCGTGACTTCATGGTTTAAACATTCACCTCCCAATCAGAGGATTGCAGGTTTGATCCCGGTCACACGTGTGCACGACTGTCTGTAAGGGAGCAGCTGAACACAGCAGCTTCATCCTGTTTGAGCAGAAAGTGCAGCTCGTCTGTTTTCTGCAGCACTTTGAGGATTTGTGAGCGCACAAACATTCTGAGTGTTACAGCTTAGCTGGCACGTTGGTGATGATGTAACACCACAGCTGATTGATAGGGTCAGACCACAAAGACAAACTGCTGGACCTTCACAGGGTCCGGTTCCTTATGTTGGACTACACTGGCTGTGTTTGAATCACTTCTCACAGATGTGCCAGCAGCAGAATCTGCCTGTGCTGATCTTTTAAGTCTGGATAAAGTAGCAGTAATCCAGGACGTCGAGCCTTCGCCGCGCTGCTGCTGAGCGTCATTCAAACCCTCCGAGTCCTCCGAGCGTCCTTCACGAGGTCGTCTGAGATAATTCCTGCCGTCAGCTCACACCAAAAACAGTCATCGAAACAACAGCAGAAACAACAGAAAGAGCAGACGCAGGTTTCTGCGGAGCTGTCAGAGTTGTGCACGCTCACAGCGTCTCTGCTGACGGTGCAGGTGGAGGAGGCGCCCACCACGTTTCCCACGCACCTCCAGCTTTTCCACCAGCAGAGCATCTGATCACTTTCATGTGCAGCGCTGATCAGAAACACAAAATTCAGCGTCTGCAGGAGAGAAAATGATTCAGTGTGAGCCATACGGAGGCCCGCGAGGGCCAAACTCACAGATGCTGCAGGGCTGAGTGACAGCGGCACTTTGTGTCCTTCAGGCTGGAAATAAAACTGATTTCATTATTTGATTGAATTACGGCGGCATGCTGAGAATGGCCATCTGCGTGTGTGTTGCAGGTCTGCGCGGCTCGCTCTCCAGGTTACAGCTGGACTATGTGGACATCGTTTTCGCCAACAGAACGGACGTGAACGCGCCGATGGAGGGTCAGCGTGCACAAGCACACGTGCACAAGCACACGTGCACAAACACGTGAACAAAGTAGCTCCACATGGAGACAAAATACAACAGTATTTAAAGTTTTCAGTAACTGAAAGCTACAGCTCATCACGTTTAGTGAATGAAAGTTTCTCTGCAGCAGACAAATGTAAAAGTTTGAAATGGAACTTTATCTGTCTCAGTGCGTTCTGTCCAAACACGATGAAAACATCATTTTTCCTGTTCTGCATGAAGCAGAGCAGAGAGCCTCAGTCTGTGTGCAGCTGGGACTCACTGCTTTCTGTTTTTGCAGAGATCGTTCGAGCCATGACCTTCGTCATCGAGCAGGGCATGGCCATGTACTGGGGGACGTCGCGCTGGAACGTGGTGGAGATCATGGTAACACAACTCACAGCTGTGGGACCTGCACAGCTTTACTCTGAGCTTTGACATTTATGTTCCTGATACTGTATATTAAAATAAATAGATATAGACAGAGGTGAGCTTCTATCTCAGGACAGATTCATTAACAAAACACCCGAGTGTGTCTCACCTGTGTGTCCACCAGGAGGCGTACTCCATTGCGCGGCAGTTTAACCTGATCCCTCCGGTGTGCGAGCAGGCCGAGTATCACTACTTCCAGAGAGACAAAGTGGAGCTGCACCTGCACACACACACACACAACCAAAGCACACACACACACACACCAAAGCACACACACACACACCAAACCACACACACACACACAAACACACACACACACACGGTTTCTCAGTTATCTCATCAGTGTCTGAGGGTTCTTATAGAAAGCCGAACACATGTGATGATCGCACAGTTACAGGACGTTTCTGCTCGGCCTTATAAACCACGTCCTGCATCATCTAAGTAAACCAGGAGCAGTCTGAGCTGCAGCAGACTGGAGGAGCTGGACTCAAACCATCAACCCTTTGAGTAGCAGACAGCTGCCTCTAAATCCTGAGACGCCTTTAACGGCTTCATGACGGCACAGCTGAGACTCAGTGGAACCCTGAGGAGTACCAGGGCTACGGGAGATAACAGAGCTGCTTCACTGCTGCTGATCATACATCACATTCAGCGTCAAAGTTCACCTTCACTCTTTATTTATGAGCACATGAACGTGATTTCCCAGATTTATTCTCTGTGTGTACAAAGTGAAGGTTTCTCTGCGTCAGCTGATTTTGGAGGTTGAACACAGTTTGGATGAGTGTAGCTAACAGACTGATGAGCACAGCCCTGTTTTTTAACCACAGACAGCTGCAGTGTGCGGGTCTGAAACACGAGTCAGTGCTGGAGTGCATTAAATATGCATTCCTCTTTATGACCAGCAGGGGGCTCTGTAAACTTGTCCCTGATGTGTTTCTGGTCTCCAGGCCTTACTAAATAAAAAAATCATGTTCAGTTTGGAAATTTGGTCTCATTAGAATCAGGAAGGAAGGTTTCGGAGCTCATGAGCTGACAAGTGAATGATGACGGTGGTTTCAAAACATCACCCGGGTGAAAGCTGTCAGCTCGAGGCTCGTCTGGCTGCTTTTACCTCGTCCAGCTTCCACTAACTTCCAGCTGTGGTTACATTTATGTGACAGGACGTTTCTCAGAGGGGCCGGAACCACCCCTGGCCACCTCTTTAGCTGTGGTACTGGTCACACACTGACCATGAACCTGCTTTAATCTCATCTCTTTGATCTCATCGGCCAGGTAGAAGGCTGACCTGCATTAAACACTGTAGTGGGAGCTGTGGGAGCTGTGGGTTGTGTGGGAATGTTTACTGTTGCTCACTTTGGCAGAGTACAGCTATGTGATCAGCGGTTGTGTGTCTGTGGTTCTGTCAGTAGCTGTCACTGATGAGCTCTCAGGCTGGTGCGATGATGAAATGTTGCTCTGTGTCTTTAACTGGACGCTGAGACCCAGCCGAGGTCTGTGGGGACAGCAGCTGTTCAGGTCCGCCTCTAAATTTAGACCCGTTTAACAAAAGTGCTCCAACATGAGGTCTGTGTGTCTGTCAGGTGTCGGAGCCATGACCTGGTCCCCGTTAGCTTGCGGCCTGCTGACGGGCAAATACAACGAGGGCGTCCCTGAGAGCTCCAGAGCCGCCATGAAGGTACAAGCAGCACAAACACCATCAATCTGAACTCGGAGCAGCACAATGAGGCCATCTGTTACCCTGCTGATCATGTGTCTGTGTGTGTGTGTGTGTGTTTGTGTGTATGTGTGTGTGTGTGTGTGTGTGTGTGTGTGTGTGTGTGTGTGTGTGTATGTGTGTGTGTGTCTGTGTGTGTGTGCGCGCACGATGAGGGGAAGGAAGCAGCTCAGCAAAATCAAAAGAGCTCACCGCTGGCTGGACAGGCTGAACGCACGGCTGCTCAGCTGGCCATTGGTAATCTTACGCCAGCAGCACAATGAGTGTGTGTTGATGTGTGTGTGTGTGTGCTGTGTGTGTGTGTGTGTTTGTGTGTGTGTGTGTGTGATATTTACTGATGTCTCTGTGTGTTTGCCAGCCTGGTGTCTCCGCAGTGAAGGCGTCAGCTCGGTGCTGCTCGGCGTCTCCAACACAGAACAGCTGCTGGAGAACCTCGGCTCTGTCAGGGTAACAACGTGGCACTGAACCTTCACCTTTGACCTTTAACCCCGAGTACACGTTACAGCTTCTGGGACGTTTCTGAGATCTTCAAGATCCGCAAACAGCGAGGGAACATCTGAGGGAACTAATGCAGATTTAGCCTCAGTCTGGAATAAACATATATATATATATGTTTATTATGACGAGATGGCTGACTGAAGTTTACAGTTTCTGAATAAACTCAGAATAATAAACAACAGCTAAAACTACAGCAAAGACAGAAATATGACAGGAAGTTCACATTTTAAATAAAAAATCAGCTGTTAAAGACAAAAAATGCGACAATAACAGGAAACAACCAGTCAGAGGTCCAGTCTGAGGCCTGTGATTGGTAGCCACTAACCACTTCCTGTTCTGTCCCTCAGGTGCTGTCTCAGCTGACTCCGCCCCTCATCGCCGAGATGGATGCGTTGCTGGGCAACAAGCCAAGAAATGTGAAGAAGGAGGCGAGAAGATGAAGATGAGGAAGAGTTCAGACTGTAGATAATCAGAAATATTTATTCTTGTATTAATCTTCACATCTTCATTAATACAGTAAAATATTCAGATGGATAAACTGTGACTCGAAAACAGTTAAAAACAGAGAAAAGTAACGAGAAGGTTTGAAGCTGGTATCAAAGGAAACTTTTACGGTAAAACCATTAAAATGTAAATATGTTTGTTTCCTAGTTAATCATGTAGGGATTTATGGAAGTTCCTTAATTAAACAATGTTTGTGAGGAGCTGCAGAAATAAAAATCTAGATTTTATGAAACTGTGAAACACATAAATATGTATAACAATAAAACGTGTGTCCGTACAAACAGAAGCACAAACTTTTTTCTAGTTAGGAAATAATAACTTGGTTTTATTTTGTAAACAATCACAAATATCACATGAACGTAGAGTTTTATTTTTATATATTACTATAATTTTTATCATCACATATTAAGCCCCGCTGTGAATTACATTCTTGTGTTTTATGATATTAGGACATTTATGAAATAAAGGCACAAGTAAACTAAATTTAAAATTAGTATAAAAAACACAATCATGCTTCAAACTTCTCACTCCAGGTAAATATATATAATAAAAGTATTTTTATTTAATCCAGAGTTCTTCTTTTAGGCTTTGTTTTTTGGCATACACAGGCTTCCGTATATCAATAAGCGCTATTTGTATTTCAAAATAAAAGCCTGCTCCTGAGTACTCTGTACTGAAAATATATTTATGAGTACATTTATTGTGAAATGGGAAATGTGTATTTTATGAATGTAGCTGCTGCTCCCTCCTGTGTGTGTTTAGATAGAGAAGACATTTAACTCAGTGGTGCTCAACCTGAGGAGACGGGACCTCTCAGGAGTCAGGACCTCCTCATATCTTGAAGGAAACGAGTATATTTTCCATCTCAATTAAAGCGAACACAGTAAGATTAATGTGACTCAGTGGAGGTTACAACATGAACACAACACCAACAGGTGAACTTTAACCAGGTACCTGACAGGTGTTTGGTCTCCTGATGGGTGGATGTGAAGCTGTGTGAATCAGGCTGTAAAAATCAGAAACACCAGGTGTGCACCGGCTTCAGTGTGGCTGATGTTTGAGTGGAAGTCCCTTTATGTTCCTCAGTGTGCTGTGAAGCTGCTGGAACTTGGTTTTCATTCATGTGGCGTCGATAAAGATGGAGGTAAATCTGCTGAATCTGGAGGGTGGAGACTGTTTCCTGTGTCACTGAAGGTTCTCCGTCTGATGCTGGGAGTAGAGCTCATGTTGCAGATCCACCAGTGTGTGCTGGCAGGAGGACAGATCAGCTGACACAACAAATTCAAGTCAGTTTGAAGCAGACGTTGATGTTTGCTGTCAGTCTGAGGTCAGAGGGCAGCACAGAGAGGTCAGAGGTCAGGCGTGGGCTCTAGACAGATCTGAGCATATCAGCTGGGGTAAAAATGATCCAGAGGTGCACGAGAAGAAGATCGAGAACATTTAACCAGGTGTTTATTCCTATGAATCAGACCTGCTTCACATGGGCTCTGTGTGACTTACGTATTTATGTAAACCTGCTGATCAGGCTCAGAGTCAAAGTCAGTAACAGAGACAAACTGCTGTAAATATGTAAAAATAAAATCAATAGTAAAGCTCATCCTTGGTGTTTATTACCCAGAGTTTATAATCAGAGTTGGTCTTTTAAACACTGAAATAATCAGTATTAATTTTCACTGCATAATTCAAACATTCATAATCAAACCAGTCGAGTTTCCTGATGTTTCCACTCTGCTGGAGCTTTTTGACCCAAGCTCAGTTTATTTCAGTTTCACTCTGATCAGAAAAATCCAAATTATGCTGTTCTTTAATGAGAATAAAAAATAATAATAAAAATGACCCTTTGAAATAAATACTGTGAGTACCTACACAACATTTATGTTAAAAATATGAAATAATGTGTAAAATAAACACTGTGATTCATTATTGAAGCGTTTTTCTTTGTTAGATTTGTTAGACCTGTTTAACATTATTATCCCATAAATCCTTTCAATTTGACTCCACTGATCACCTGACTGAAACTGTGTGACCGTTACCATGACGACCAGCGGGATCACAAAGTTTCCTCCATCTTCCTGTTTAACCCCTCCTACCACTCTCTGTGTAAGAATACCAATAAAGTTATTTAAATCTGGATGAGAGTGTCTGCCTCTGACCACCAGGTGGAGCTAAAGTCACACAGGAGCTGCAAAGAAAGAGCGAGTGAGACTGTAGGTGAGCTGTGATCAGTGTGAATCTCCCTCAGGCTCATCTCACTCACTCTGTCCACACTTCTCACTCCTTCTCTGTATGACCACACAGAATATCTCAAATATAATCTTATGATCTTTATCATGAGAGCAGGTGTGATCTCAGAATCACCCACAGCTGAGTTCTGTGGAAGCATTTTCAGAGACACTGGGCAAACAGAAGCTGCAGGGTCAGTTTTATTGACT